TTATTGTGAAAATGGATTATTTTTATCCGAATCTTCCTCATCTTTTTTCCCCAATTTTAAACAAGGTTCACAATAAATATAATCAAGCATTATCGAGCTTTTCTTATTCTCATTCTTCAAAATAAGATTTCCAAAGTACTTCCACATATAACTTGATTTTTGATTAGTAGAGAGAGTTGTTATTTCATAATTGTATATAGGGTGGTTTAAAACGCGCAAATCCAAAAAATAATTAATATAGCCGAAATGAATATGGTGTATGAATGAATGTAAATGATATACACTTCAATTATATAAAGCAATAGAATACAATTCATGTTTTATTATATTAATGTTAATATTCAAATTTAAATAATAATTTAATATATAAATATAATTAAACAACATTCTAAATATTATACACGCCGCGCCGCTGCTATAAGAAAAATCGGCGGCTAGCCGGTTCACGCCGCTGACCTCAATCGGCGGCTGTTCCGGCGTGAATAAAATTGCCGGCGGCGCACAGGTCTAGGCTCAACACGGAGTAGGTCTGTTTAAGACAAAAAATTTAAACAATAGCAAAAAATTTTTTTTTAAACAAAATCCGAACCGCTTAGATTTTAAATGATCCTATAATATCCATTTACTGCTCATATTTTCAATTTCTTTTAAAATAATTTATAAAATATAGCCAAAATATTTTAAAAAAATAGTGTTGTTAATCTGAAAAATAACTAATTACAGTTACTACTATTTCTTTTTAAAGTAACGAGATACAGTTATAAATTAGCCAGACAGTTATGTTTAAAAAGTATTAGTTACATTGCAAGTTAATTTTAAATTATTTGTATACTCAAAATTTTTTATATAATATTTATATTACACAAAATTTCGACTTATAAATTTTAATCGAAAAAAAAAATATGAATGAAAATACAATTTATTTAAAAAAATAATTGCACTGAAAAATATATACCTCAGTGTAATTAATATTTATTTTTACTTAAAATAAATATAATAATTTATTTGCTTCGAAATATAATATTTGCATTTCAAAAAACTCTTAATAATTGATGCCTAAAATGGGTGTGATTTCTCCAAAATAATTTTCCTTAAACTATAAACAAGCGTTCAAGAGAAGCGCTCGCTGTAAATAAGACATTATATTTAATGAACACAAACATATAACTTCCAACATCTCCCTTTAAAAAAAATGAAAGATATGATGACCTTTTATTTTAAAATATCTTTAAAAAAGATTTTGAAAATTTTAGCTAAAATAGGAAAGTCATTGATTGGTAAGTTAAAGAGCCGGCGGCGCACAGTTCTAGTAGTGCCTCATTTTTTAAGACTATATTGGATTCATGTACTCTATCTTCTATACAAAATACTTTAGGTATTTTAACTTAATAAATACATTATTCTTTAGGCGTTATATCCAATTTATGATTTCTTTAAATACCAAGTGATAAGATATGGAGTAAGAGCATATCAATAAATGAAATAGATAACCAGCATTAAAAATTTTCAAAAATGTGCTCATTAAATGGATCTTACGTAGACCTGTGTGCCACGCCGGCCTACCGGATAGTTTTGGTTATGCCGTAAATGCCGCCTTTTATAAAAATCAATTAAACATGTTAGCAATGCTTATTTTAGCCCATTTACGTTAAAAAAACTTTAAAAACAACGATTATGGTCACTTTTCTACTGTACATCTTCACTAAATTTTTATTTAAACATGTTAGCAATGCTCTCACGCACCAACCGCCCCTATATCATGTTAACTTCATTATTGTTTTTCTTGTATTTTTGTATTACTAAAAATTTTGATTAATAAAGCCATTGGGATATCAAAGCCATAAAGGCCAAGATATCTGGTTACATTCCACAGAAGGGAAAGGGAAAAATGTTAAAAGGATGTAGGTTCGATTAGTGGGGGCGTGTCATATACATTGGGGAGAAGTTAATTTTGCACATTCATTGTTATTTTTTTTATAAATTAGAGTTAATTTTGCGCATTCATTGTCTTTTTTTGTTAATTTATCAAGTCATCATGATAAATATATTTTATTTTTATGATTGGAGAAGATTACTAATTTTTTTTAAAAAAATTGTTTTTCTATATTTGTGAAATATTATTAATTTTGAGTTTTCCAATTTAATTGCTATTAGGAATTGTGAATTAGCTAATAAAAAAAAGTGTTACATATATTTAATTCTATATTAATTAATACTCCGGATTGTTTTTATACCTACAATATAACATTAAGTAATAGACTCGTGCCTAGTCAATTTTTAAAATGCAAATTCGATTAAAAATAATAAGATATCAATTCATAATATTGATAAAATTAAATACTTAGCTAAAATTTTAATCTTCTGATATTAATGATGCGATACGTTTAATTAACAAATTTGAATCATAGACTGCCCAACGATTAAAAAAACTTTATTGAAATAATATTTTTAAAATAGCAACCTTTATTCTAATAATCTGTTTATGATTTTTACGTTTATATCATATTTTTATTTAAATCGCATATGAATTGCAAGATATAACATTTTTCAAAAAGAATAAATTAATTATATATATTACACAATTTTTATAATATATTTGAAAATTAAGTAATAAAAAAATTTACACAAGATATGGCATTTTTAAATATTTAATTTGGAAGGGATAGCTTAACCTAATCTAGTGTCACAAGATGTCAAATAACATATGAATTAAAATTTTAGTAAATATAAAAAGGTTATCCTTATGTTAAAGAATTATGTAAATTTAATATAATTGGTTTTCCAGATATAGCGCAGCATATGCTAGATCAGGAATTTTTTAAATTAATCTATGGATTTCATAGTGTTTTCTCAGGTTTAATTGTCTGGGTCGTAAAAGTTCATTTACTTCTTTATTTGTTGAAATATTTTTAGGTTATTACTTTTATTTTATAATGTATTTAATATCTCATTTGCAATTGAAAATAAAGTTGGTTAGATTTCGAATTAACTTTTATGAGCGCTACTTAAACAACCTAAAATATTTAAAATTAAACTGTAATATACAAATGCCTTTTCTATTTAAAAATGTACTAATTAGTTCCTTCTTTAGGTATTTAGACCTGTGTGCCTTGTGCCGATTTTTTTTGGTTACGCCAAAAACGCCGCCGTTTAAGAAATCACGCCGGCAGCCTGCGCAAAAATTACTTTATTTTATCCCCTTTTTATTCTAATAATTGGTCAACATCACTATTGTAATTTTTTTAAATATCAATCAGGATTTTGATGAATTTTTATTTTCTACTATTTTAAAATCATAATTATATTGACGTCATTATAGATTCAATCAATCAAAAATCTAATAGTTACCATAACTTTACATATTTTTAAAATAGATGCATCTACATTTAATAATTTTAGTATCCTAACTCTGGAAAATAAAAAATCTATAAAAGAGATAACAAAACAATTTCCATAAATTCTGACAAATTTTACTGCAATTGTTGCTTAGAAAAGGCTATTGGACACGATGATAATTCATATAAGCCATTTTCACAATATATTTGTTAAAACACTTGACTTCTGACTGAGAAGATTCATAATAGTTGAATTTTATAGCCATGCTAACAATGTTATTGCACATAAACATATATGATTTATATTGTATAATTGCATATTCATTTGTTTTAATCATATCTGTTTTTGAGCTTTGCAACTCAGAATAAATTTTTCTTGAAAAATTCTCCCTAATTTGTTGTCTAATATAAATGAAAGGTATGATTTTTTGTTATAAATTTCAAAATACTTATTTTAGAAATATCAAAGCCGTACTGCTCTTAATGAAACAAATCTGGTTACAGTGGATGGTATTAAAAAGGTACACTTTGTTGAAAATCTCATCAAAAGAATTAGAGAAATTATTATTGCTCTAAGATATAAAACTGCAGAGATTGATTTTGAATTTGATAGATTTAACATCAGACATGTTAAATCTTGACAGCACTGATCCATACCCGGATACCCGTTTTCTAATTGGCAATTTTAATGATAATAATAATAATTCCACGCATATAAAAACCTTAAAATTAAATGTCCCAACACGTTGGCATAGTATATTAATTAAGCTAGAAAGCATATCTGGATTAAATAAGAATTTAATTAATAATGTTTTGAAAAGAATTGGGAAGCACTTTTTCAAATTATGAATCTGAGCTGGTAGAAGAACGATTAGCATTTCTTTCAAAATTTAAAGAAACTGTCTAATTTCTTTCAGTACAAAAAGGGTCTACTTTAAACTTGCGTTACTTTTTAGAAATAAAATTGCATAAATAATAGTTCTGAAATCATTTCACATAAATATGCTAAAAAAATTTGCGTTACGATTTCCGGTTTTTAATCTGCAGTAATAATATATAAGTATATTCATTTATTTATTAATTAAAAAAATTATTTAGGTATTGGCTTCTCTTTTAGATTTAAGATTTCAAAAATTGACAATTGTGTCAAAGTAAAAAGAGCAAACTTGTTCAGCTCAGAATTTATAATAAAACATTCTAGAGAATGATGATATTCAGGTAGTAAATATAGCTATTGAGGTTCAAGAAAAATTATTAAATTCAAGTATTTGATAAAATTGGCAAATAAACATTCAACAAATATAAATTATTATTACACTTAACAAGATTGCCATATTCTTCTTAGAAAATAACATTCACAAGATATAGATGTTCTAAATTTTTGGAAAGAAAAAAAGAGCGAACTTCCTAATCTTTCCAGGCTCGCCAAAAAATTCTAGTGAAAGAGTTTTTTCTATCGCTAGATTGATGTTAAATTTAAGGAGTTAATCATTATGTCCCGAAAATTTAAATAAAATAATTTTTATCATGATAATTATAAAATTACGAAATCGATTTTGGATTTATAATGAGTTGAGTTTTCTATTAAATAAATATTAAAAATTATTCCGAGATTTTCCCAAAACTTTTATTATTATTTTTTAAATATTAAATCACCCAATCTAATCATGATAATAGGCACTAATACCATGGGGGTGGGTATGACGAGGATCGTTATTGAAATACTATAAGAATGGAAGAGACGAGGAAATAAGGATAAGAGTGTGTATGATTTTTCTACACTAATTTTTTTCGACTTATTATTTTTTCTAAGATGGGGGGGGGGATAAAATATTTATTCATGTAATATTGTCATTCAGTAAAAATTGCGTTGTGATTTGATAAAATGATTTAGTTGTCCTGATTGGCATATCTTGCTTCTGTTAACTATCTATTTTATGTATATATTTATTGTGAAATAGAGATCTGCAAAGTTAGTCCAATATTTTTAAAAAAAATTCGGGCTGGGTGGGACCTTGGAAATTTTATTAATTATATCTAAATTTATAAATTTTTTATGTAAAATAAAAATTTTTGATTTAATTTATTGAAACTAAATGCTATATAACATATATTTTATTTTAAGTAATTATAAAAATTAATATTTAAATAAATTCGGGCCTGGCCAGGCCGGTAATTTTTTTTAAATAAATTTCGGGTTCGGGCCAGGAAAACTTTTTAAAAAAATTTCGGGTTCGAGCCGGGCCGGCAAAACTATTTTAAAAAAAATTTCGAGCTGGACCGGGCATGAAAAATTAGGCGACTAATTTTTTGAATATTCATAATTTTTTTAATTATCTATTAATTAAAACTAGTGTTGTTAAACTGCTCGTTTTGAGCCGATTTTTAAAAACGGCTAGTTCAATATTTAGCCAGAAAAATATTGCCTACGCCTCGAGATTTTGCTAATAGATATCCAAACCTTTGTTTCTTCTACAAACAAAATCTTCAGCTTGTGTAATATTATTCTAGATGAATCAAAACGAGCAGTTTAACAACACTAACTAAAACAATAAAAATTTTGTGGAGTAAATTCGATATTTGTCATTACCCAGTTTAAGGCTAAATTTGTTTATCCAATTTTTTCCCCTAAAAGATTTACATTTATAATACAAAAATTAACATTCTTTTTATATTGTAAATTTTTAACAATTGATTAATATCTTAATAATGTAGATTAGATAAAAGTTTTTCTATATCCTGCATTTCAGTTTTATATGATGTCATCTAATAAAAAATAAATATAGGTGATATGATAATTTTAAAACAAACCTTGTTTTCATTTATTTGAATAACTTGACTCCCAACAATGTCAATATTATAGTTAGGGTCAGATGTTATACGTTTCAAATGATCTAATGATTCCAATAATTTACTTTGTTTAGCCATTAACCTATTTCTTTCTTTATCTACATCGATGAGACCCTAAGTATATAATATATTTTATAGCAAATAATGTCATATTTACCTCTAAAGATATATAAGTTATACACTTGAAATTATAATTTGGTAAGGGAGATGTAAAATAGATGCAATTTTTATAAGGCTCATGATCTCCATATATACTCTTTATATTTAATTCTTTTAAGGGTGCAGTTGATGATATAATAAAATTTTTTAAATTTTTAATTTGGCATATGATTGTGTTAGCGTCATTGACAGGATGATCCATCATGCATAAAATATTTACTATATATAAATTTAATGAGCTATATTTCACAAATTTATATTATTTATCAAAATAATCAAGTGTATAAAACTTAACCTTCTAAATCGGCTTTTAAAATATTATATTCCTGTCGAATATTCCGGATACCTTTGATCGTGTTCATAATTAAAGCAATCGTTTCATTTAATAGCAAGTTTTTGCAATAATTGAACTGTGAAATAATGTTAAAGACATCAAAGATTTTATATTTTACATTTAATATGTTTGGATAAGTCGATATAGATATAGATTGTTTAATATCATGGTCTTTATATAAAAAATTTATATGAGGAATGATTCTTTGATATAACTCTTCAGTTATAAAGGGCATAAATGGGTGAAGTAATTTTAGAAAATTATACAAGCAATGTAATAGAATTCTCTTAATAACATCTTTATATGTGGTCACAGCGAAAGTTGGAATCAGTTTATCATACAAATACGGTTTAGCATATTCCTTTTAATATTTAATTTCATTAAAGCCATTAAAATATAGAAAGGTACTATGTAAATGTCACAAAATTGATATAGCCAATAATTGTGGAGAGCATTGGTAACAAGCTGGAAATTATATTCCCTAAAACCTTTATCGCATTTTTCAACACATTCAGATAACATTTGTAGAATCCAGGTATCCATATCCTGAAATTCACGTCCCTCATTATTCATCATTTTGTGAAAATCTTGACAGCCAAGTTCTAGGCTCTGTGAATTTAAAATGTTCAATACAAATTTTGTTGCGTTCCAAATTTTATTACAAAAATGTCGATATCCAACAATTCTATTGACATCTAAATTTATGTCCTTACCTATATTTCATAATAATATTTATTAGAGGTAATTTGCAAGTTAAATTCTATAATAGAAAATATGTTACAAACCATTTTTGAATTGTATAATAGTTGTATAAAAAATTAATAAGGTTAAATAGAGCCTTGTAAATATTTTTAACAGCCCGAGCCCGAAATTCTCATTAGTTCTAAGCTGCCCGATTTTTTATTTTAGGCCTGAGATTATTGACCTAAAAATTTTAATTAAAAAAATATAAATTAAATGCATTTTTGTGAAAACAAATGAAATAAAACTCACTTATTGTTTTGTTCAAATCACAGATACTATTTGTTTTGATAAAACATGTTAAAAAAATTTTTTAAAAAAATTCTAGCCTAGATAGTCTATATTTTTAAAAGATCTGTTTGATGAAAATTGTTTTTAAAAATACATATGAGTCTAATTAAAGAAAAATATTGGGCTCATAAAAGAGTAATATTTTTCAAAAGGTGGAAAAATAATAAGTATAAAAAAATACACTTTATGGTGTTTTTCCTGAAAAGAATATTAAAAAAAATATAGTTATCGTCATTTATACTTTCCCCTTGTTTTTTAATCAAACAATTATTAAATATAAGCAAAATACAATAAATAAAATGACAGGATCATCTTATAAATGGAATAGATTTGTAAAAAACATAATAGGTCACCTTTAACAAGTTAAGCGTCCTTATTATCCAAAAAATGTTACAACATAATATAAATTGGGTATAGTACATAATTTAAAAAAAGGTCTAATTTGATCCACAATTTTTTCACCGATCCGATTTGATTTCAAACGGCACCGATACTGAACCGATATTTACAATGAATATTTTTCTTATATTAGTAAGTTATACCCCTTAAAGAATAATTATACATAAAGTCCCATATTATTATTTTTTTATTGATGAACAAAAATTTCACTTACAGGGTTTCCCATTCAAAAAAGGAAAAGTCCCAATCAAGAAGGAAAAATTTTCAATCAAAAAAGGAAAAGCCATATAAAAAAAAGTCTAATCAAAAAAGGAAAAGGTCTAATCCAAAAGGAAAAGTGTCAATCAAATAAGGAAAATCGTTATTTTTTAAAATATTTATATTTTCTCTTTTGAATTTGTCTTAAATTTTTTTTTTTATTCCTTCTTCTAACTTTTTGCGATTTCTTCAAATCATTATTAATCCTTATTTTTAATATCTTTTCGCAATTTATTTTTCTTCCATTTTTGATAATTCCTTTGTCCTTTTATAAATTTCCCTGTAATTTTTCTTCAATTCTCTACTCCATTTTTTAAACAATTCTTTCATTTTTTTCATCAAACATATAACAATATTTTGACTTTTTATGATTTATTCTCATTATATTGCTATCTTTTACATACATTTTTAACTTTTTGAATTTCATTAAGTCATTTTTAATCTTTATTTTTCTGATCTTTTCTTCTCATTTTTGATAATTCTTTTTCACTTTATTTTTATTTCTCAATGGATGATAATAGAATTTTAAAAATAAGAATTTAAAAATGATTATATATTTTTTATTAATTTACATATCGTTTGGTATTATTCTAACTTATTTAATTTTAAATTAAAAGGTACATTATAATCAAACGATTAATTTAATTCAGGAATTGTAATCAAGTAATTTGATATATATAAAATCCTAATAAAAAAAATTGTCTCCCATTAGATAATAAAAATTAAGTGAAAATTAACAATAATTACAAAAAAAAATTATCAAAAATGAGAAGAAAAATAAAGATTAAAAACGGCTTAAGGAGATTCAAAAAGTTAGAAATATATGATAAAGAAAACAATATTATGAGAAAAAATCATAAAGAGTCAAAGTATTGTTATGTATTATGGAAAAAAGGAAAGAATTGTTTAAAAAAGGTATAGAGAAGTGAAGAAATATAACGGAAAATTTATAAATTATTTTTTAAAAAAAGAATTATCAAAAATGAGAAGAAAAATAAAATATTTCATTTACAAAGTGGCTAAAGTGAATAGCATTGCAAAGGCCTACAAGAACCTTGATTCTGAATATTCCCGCAATTGTGAGAGCAGCTAAGACTAATCGATGAAAAAATGACCTTATAGCTATGGGTCTAATACCACCATCCAGTTTCAAGGCGTGCACCAAAAAGATTAGGGCGTATACAAAGAGGAACTTAGCGTACAAGGATATTATTATAAAGTTCGGTTAATGATTTTAGTAAGGGTTCAATAAAACCACTATCAAAGCATCTGATTAAATCAACAAAAAAAACAGGTCTGAACCCGTCTAAACCACCTGTCGTCCCTTTTTTAAAGAACCTCAAGCACTTAAGAACTTCGTCACAGTTAAAGGGAGTAGAAGAGTCTAGCGGATGAATGTTAAAAGGGGACCGGTGGATTTTCGAGAGCTTTTGAAAAGTAGAAGTGTTGATGGGGGAAATAGTATCATCAGAAGTCAAAATACGGGCAGCACCGCTAATATAACCAAGATCTAATTTTTCAGAGATCAATTTACAGCGGAAGGAGTTAGGATTTAAAAAGTTAGATAAAGTAAAATCATCAATAATGGTATCTAATTTTTATTATTTATGTGCTCAGTAAAAAATTTAATCTTGCTAGATGAGGGTTTTGTATATTGTTATCATGGAAATAGATTATGGATTTGGACTTATTAAGAATGAGTCTTTTAAAATTGGCTTCAAGAAATTGAAAACCAATTATTTTAGGAAGAGCATCACATATTGTTCCATCAAGATACCAAATATTTATATTCAATAGATTTAAGGAATACCATGGTAAAATAAACGAGGACGTGTGCCCCCTGCTGGGTCCTTTCGTCAGAATCTATAATATGTAGTCTGAATAAAGGAGTTTTAATATTACAGTATGTCTCTAGGAATTTTGAATAATAAGGAAATTTGGGATAAAAACAATTTATGAAATGTTCACAAAATTTGCTATTGAAATCATTTTTAGTCTACTTTAATAATAGCCATGTTAGAGGGGAATTTTGGATATATAACAAATGACATGTAAAGCTATTTTGTCTTCTCTCTTAAAACCAAATCCTAATTGATACGTATACTTAATAAGTCAAGACCCTGGGTTTTGACCTATTGCAATTTTTTCGCTAATAATCTTCTAAATAGCCCATTGCAATGGGGTGGATACCACCGTAATTGTGAGATAATCAGGTTTGCTCCCATAATTGATTAGAATTTATGATGGCAGGTATTTTTAAAGAGTATTTAGGAAGGTTTTAAAAGCATTTAAATGATTCTTTGAGATGAATGAAGATTTTATACGAAGTGAGGGGGCAAAAAACATTGAGTCTGAATGTGGAAAATTTGTTAAAGGATTTGATAAATATCATAACTCACTGATCATATTTTTTTTATTCCATATTTTCCATAATATATTTGGCCTTTTCTCTAAAAATTTATAGAAATCTTGGAAGAATGAATATGGATAATCTAGTTTTCATATTTCACTATTCTGGTTCATCATCAAACCGTCATTCTTGACGGGCTATCGGCTAGTATATTATATTTATTCTATTTGCGGAAAATAAATTATTTTTATTTGCATTTTAGACAAACTATTCCAATAGCTTAATTTCACAACTGCAAAAAGATTAATAACTTTTAGAAGTCAATAAAACTTGCAAATTAATTAATAACTTCCCAGAAATTTAAATTAACTAAACTGCCCATTTATTTTCAATACTGTCCAAGTAAGTGAAATTCTTGTCAAAAAATATATACCTACCAAATGTTTTTTATACTGCCCATTTCTTATAAATAATATGTTATTTTATAAAAAACATAATATTAACAAAATCCATGCTGGATCGGTCCTCTTTTTTCTTGTATAACAGCTAACAATTTTTTCCACTGATCGAAGGCCAACTTGACTTTTCTTTAGAAATCAAGGGCCAAACTTCACAAACATAAGCCTATTTTACACATAATAATCCAGTAGACTTAGATCAATTTTAAAAATATTTTTGCCTAAGATATTTGTTATAATATTTAGATGAAAAGGAAAAATGTATTATTCAAATTAGAAGAATTATTACGATATTATTTAATTACAGACTATATAAATGATTATTAAAGAAAAGATATATAATTAGATTTTGTAAATATTATACCACTTTCCAATTTTTGGGATAGTATTCTTTTTAATTTGATTTATCTTTAACCCTTTGCCTTTTAAATTTTATGTCTTATTATTTTATAATTATGTAATAAAGTGACAGTAAAATTAATTTATTTATATGTTTATATATATTTTGATTATTATTTTTCAGTAGACTATGTAAACGATTATTAAAGAAAAGATATATAATTGAGATTTTGTGATTATACCATTTTTTGGCATCAAATGTCTTACTTGTATTTTTGTGAAAGTTTGTACTTTATTAAAGAACATATGGATAAAATCCTCATTTTTTGAATTTATAGTTATAAGGATTTCAAAATGCGATTTTTTTTAGCCACCCGGTATATACATGTCGTAATTTTTAAAGGGATTAGAACTATCCGGGATTATCACGGGTTTTAAAGGGATCCCATTAAAGAATTCAATTTTTTAAAGAATAAAGAACTATACGGTATTATTACATTAGAATCATGATAAAGAAGAATCTTAATTTAAAACGCGTTTTGCTTTTTTTTAAATTTTGATTGTTATTTATTTATTGTCAAAGTTTTTGGTTGGGGGGGGGGGCTTATGAAACTAGATATGTAGAATATTTTTTATCAAAACAAAATATCGATATTGGTATCAAATAAAAGCGAATTTAAATTTCTTTTACTGAAAGCATTCCATATTGGTCTTGATGGGTAGAACTTGGATTAGGGTGGGGAGAGGTGGTAAAAAAATATATTGATATGGGTATCAAATAAAAGTTAATTAAAAAATTTTTTTTATTGTAATAATAATCACTCAAAGTGGGTTGGTCTAGGCCCTAGAGGGGTCAGGAATATTTTCAATATAAAATATCGATATTGGTACCAAATAAAAGTTAATTTAAATATCTTTTGACTGAAAGTATTCAATCTTGATCTTGTTGTGTAGGACTTGGCAATAAAATATTACAATTTAACCATTCTTAATGAGACCATCTCCATAATAACAACATCAAGAAGTGCATCTTCTTATGGTAATTGTAAATCAATTTGCAATTTTCACAATAAGAGACCAATGTTTTAAAAATGGCAATAATAATAGTGACAAAATGTCACTTAAATATTATTTGTGTAAATAATAAATAATTGTTCAAAATTATATTTTAAATTTGAATTATCAAATCAAATAAAATATGTGTTGATTATATGTCTTGAATAAAAATATAATAATAGGAATGATTTGCTTGTAAAGAAGTGTAATAATTATACTGGAATAATTTAAAATTTGTTATTTGATGGTTACAAATATAGCCTCCAGAAATTTATATATTAATCCATTAATCCTACAAGACATGTGTTCTACCTTTGATCTCTATTGTGATATTTTTTTTAATAACAAAAATTATATTAACCCTACTGAGCATCCATGTTTTCCCAGTAACATATGCCATAACCAAAAAGATATCGTATAAATTAAAATTAGCGCTTCAAAGTAAAAAATAGATATTGCACACCATATGACCATTAAAAATTTTTTAACTAAAGTGATATTAGTGCTTATTTTTTAGAAATTAATATCCTCCTAGAATCAATGTTATATTTTTAGGAGCCAAAAGTTTTGAAGTGTTTTAGTTTAAAAAATAAGACAAAGTATAAAATCTACCTTGATTAGTATAGGCACAAAGTGCAAATCTGAGAGCATCCGTTCCACATTGAGGTATCCCATTTGGGAAATCTATTTTCTGACCTTGTTTAGCCTTTTCATATTCTGTCTCTTCTAAATTTCCAATCAATAATTTTTCATTCAACTCCTAATCAATTGTTATAATTCAACAAGACAACTTTTTATAACTTTTAATGTGATGCCCTTAATTACGTCAATGGGATCAATAATGTTTCCTAAAGATTTACTCATTTTTCTGCCATGTGCGTCTCTAATCATAGCGTGTAAAAATACCTGAAACAGAGTTTATTTACACATTCTATTGTGATGGAAAATTAACTTGTCTAAATGGTAAGAGACCAGTCAACTTTTGAGACAAAAAAACCATTCTTGCTACCCAAAAAAATAAAATGTCGTGACCCGTTTCTAAAAAGGTATTTGGAAAGTAACGTTGGAATTCATCGTTTTCCTTAAAATAAAATTATTTATATAATTTTGAAAAGAAAAACAATATTTGGCCATCCCAATGTGGCTAATGGTACCAAGGCTGATGAAAACCACGTATCTAATACATCTTCATCTAAATAAATATGATTAAACAACAAATCGTTTAACAATAAAACCCTGAATTAAACGAATGTTATTTAATTCGTCTGTTTTTAAAATGTTTTTAGCTTTAATTAAGGCTTCGTTTTCATTACGAGCGGCAATCCATATTTCATCATCATCCTTAAGGAAATCAAATAAGAAAGTATTTTAATTTCATTTTACCTCTTTTGAAAAAGTATGAGATATTTTATAAGCAGGAATACGATGTCCCCACCAAAGTTGCCTTGATATACACCAATCTCTGCAAAATAAAATTAAAAAAAATCTTGATAAATCAAGGTTAGTATTCTTTGCAACTGAGGTACTAGAGGTCAATATTTTAGAGGCGGTAAGGTTTGTGGTTTTAGTGTAATACAATATTCAATTCCATATAGAAGTGGGTTCGGGCCGTAAAATTACGTATGACGGTTGGGTCATGGCTTGAGTGTGAATAAATTTAAAATTATTAGGCGTTACGGGCTTCTTAAAATTTTTGTCGGGCGTAATTGGGCGTGAACATAAATTTACCGTGAATCGCGAAAATTTTAATTATTAAAATGTTTTTTATAAATATAAATTTGCAATATTATAATTATAATATATATTTTAAAATTTAATTCTTTTTGAAAAGGAATAATTTTTAAAAACAAAAAATTACGATTTTATAAACAACATTTTTTCCCCGTCTTATAAAGCTTCAATTGAATAAAAAATAATTTAGTCTCTCAACTCTCGTTCAGCAATAGAGATTTGGTAATCAACTTAATTTAATATGTGTGGTTTTAATTTATCTTTACTATTGTTTAAATTTTCTCATATTTACCTACAAATCTAAGATAATTGATGCAATTGCCTTATAAATTCTGTTTAAAATGTAATGAATGTATTCAAAGATGATGAAAGAATAAATACCATTTTCATGCCATATATTAAATAACATAATGCACCATATTTTTGATTATTGCTTACATGAAATAGCTTTAAGTATAAAAGGTGTAGTGCAAAATTTTAAGTAATCTGCATCAAACCGCAAGTTAAGCCATTTCATTAAGCAAGATATGATAATGAGATAGAACTTTGCTTATATCATGATAAAAAATTTCTTAAAATCCTAAATAAAACATTTAGAGAACTTTGAAATTATTCTGATGAGGTGACATCTTATCACGAAAGATGTAAGAATGAATTTAAAAGATTCATCGTTCAAGCAAATAACGAAGAAAATAATTTAAAGTTTTGGAAGCAAGAAAATTTTATAAGCCCCGGCGGCTTCCAGTGAAGGATTATTTCTATAGCCAATAGCGTATTAGAGGAAAGACAAACACAATTATAAACATATAATATGAACATTCTTCTTTTTTCAAATAAAAATTTTGATTTATTATAAAGATTATTTTGTTTGTCATTGAATTAAAAAAATAAAATACCATGATAGAATTATAAATTCAAAAAGCGTGAAAGTAGAAATAAGTTAAGAAAAATTTTAACAAGCGTGTAAGGACTTATTTTTTGCCACCGTGAATGGGCGGGCTATAAATAGAAATTAGGCCCGCACCCTCCTCTAATTTCGATCCGAATAAATAACAGTGCACCTTTATGCTTATGCATTACCAAAAAGTTATAATATAATTGACAAATCGATGAGGGATTTACCTAATGTTGTTCATCCAAGTGTTCCAGGTAACATCGTACGAGGAAGGAATCAATATTAAACGCTTCTCTGCTACAGCCTGCATAATAAAGTTTTGTATTATAGTTTAAAAAATATTCAAACTTGTTTAGCATTTATAGCCATTTCACTACAGCTTAAATACCATTGAGGTTTGATCATTGGTTCAATTATATCTTTAGAACGACTTTTATTTTATAATATAATATTGAATATCAAATGGAATTTAAATAATACCTGCAAATTGGAATAAGCATTGAGTGTTCCTTTTTCCCCCGGAACAAATTCATATCATTCAAATGTTTTTCTATCAAAATTCGAGCTTCAAATCTGTGTAAACCCTTGGTATTTAAAAAAAATAAAGATAATTGATTTGATAAATTTACAATAAAAGGTCCACAATGTTCATTCATTCGTCCATCTTCAGTAAATATATTGATAGTTGCCAAATTGTGTCTTAGCCCAATTTCGTAATCATCAAAATCATGTGCGGGCGTTATTTTAACGGCCCCTTTAAATATATTGTGTAAAAATATTTAGTATTTTTTTAACCAGTTCCAAAATGAATATCAATAGCTTTATCGAAAACGATAGGAATCAGTCTATCTTTGGAGAAAGGATGAATAACTTGATATTTATAAGGTGATTCATTATGAGATAAATATTTAGAGTATCTTTTATCCTGAGGATTAACAGCGATGCCCGTATCCCCTAGCATTGTTTCTAATCTTGTCGTCGCAACTACTATCTCGTCTTCATCATTAACTTTTCCACTATCTCAAAAATGTATATTGATATTTAAAAATTAAAAAAGTATGAACGAAGTGATGGAAGAGACTATTAACAAGATTTAAAATAATCGGCAAGTTAATTAGACCTCAATATATAGACAAAATAAAAATTATATCAATAGTTTCAAAATATGCTAATTTAAATATCTTTTAATTGAAAATATTTATTCCTGGTCTTAATGGGTAGAACTTGGTGAAGGGGTGGGTGGGGGTGGGTAAGTGGGAAAAAATAAAAGATATTGATATGGGTATCAAATAAAAGGTAATTAAAATATTTTTTTATTGTAATAATAATAATCACTCAAAGTGGACGGGTCTAGGACCAGGAGGGGTCAGGAATATTTTTCAACATAAAATCTCGATATGGATATCAAATAAAAGCTAATTTAAATATTATTTTAATGCTTTCACCATAATTATCAATTATTAACTTAGCTATTGATATTAGATTCAATATTTGATCATATTTAGTTTTAAATTAAAAACTAATTATTTAACATCAGTAAAAAGCAAAAAAAGACGTCTTTTGGACCTTTAAACCCGATTATCTCAGCTAATATAGTTGCTAATGCGCTAAAATTTTGTTTATAATCTAATGGGAACATATATATCCAGTCTACAACTTTTTATCGAAATTGAAAGGGGTCGGCCGAAAATCTTGATTTTTTTGCTCATTTGACATGGAATGGACCCTTAGGTGACATTTTGTCACTATAATTAATGCCATTTTTATAACATTGGCATCTCTTATTGTTGCAACTTTTTTGGAAATTCAAATTAATTTCCAATTACCATAAGAAGATGCACTTCTTGATCTGCTTTTATGGAGATAAGTTTATTAAGAATGGTTTTATTGATTTGTAAACGTTCGTTTTTTAAAACGGGGAATCAATTTTTTCCAAATTAGATCCAACCTATAGTTTCTTGCCCCCATTTGGATAATTTTGACTTCAATATTTTGGGGTATAGATTTGATCTACATTTTTATTTATTAGGATCAATACGTGATCCCCAATGAAATAATTTAATATTAAATGATTCGTAGGAATTCCCCCTACTTATTTTGTGAGCAATCATTATACCCTCAGGTTCATTAGTACTATTATGGTTATAAAGCAGATATAATTTGTGCAAGTCAGATTAGAAATTATGGTGAAATCTTATTTAAAATAAAAAATATATAAAAATGAAGAGTAAAATTAGTAGGCTAGAGTTAGTAAATATTCATTAATTTTCATCAGAAAAAAAATAAATTATGAATTCATTGTCATTATAGGATGAGCTTGGTATAGAATGTCTACTTAGAGTATAATTATAACAATCAAGAGATATTTTAATTACCTTTTATTTGGTACCTATTGTTATTTTGTGTTGAAAATTCTTGATCCCCCCAGGGGCTAGACCCACCCACTTTGAGAGATTATTATTACAATAAATAATATTTTAATTACCTTTTATTTAAATATTTTTTATCCCCCTCCCTACTCTATTCACCCCTAGACCCCCTACCGACCAAGACCAAGAATGAATACCTTCAATCAAAAGATATTTAAATTTTCTTTTATTTGATGCCCATATCGATATTTATTGTTGCCAACCCGCTATGAGTGATTATAAAAAATATTTAAATTACCTTTTATTTGATGCCCATATCAAAATAAATTTTTTACCTCCCCCCCCCAGATTAAGTCATATCTAATCAAAACAAAGAATGAATAATTTCAAACAAAAATAATTAAATTAACTTTTATTTGATACCCATATCGATATTTTATGTTATTCCTAACCCCTCCAGGTCCCCGCCCACTTTGAGTGATTATTATTATTACAATAAAAAATATTTTAATTATCTTTTATTTGATACCCATAATCTTATATTTTTTACCACCTCCCCGCCCCATTCCCACCCCTAGACCAAGTCCTACCCATCAAAGCCAATAATGAATACTTTCAATCAAAGGATATTCAAATTAGCTTTTATTTGATATCCATATCGATATTATGTTTTAAAAATATTCCTGCCCCCTCAGACCTAGTCGCCCATTAACAGGGAAATGTTAACCCCTCTAGTTGAATAGATCTTTTGATTAGTTATCGATTGATTCCCTATATTCGACATATCTACTTTCATAACCTCCCCCCCCCCCAAAAAAAAACTTTGAAAATAAATATATAACAATAAAATTTTTAAAAATAAAGTAAAACTATCGTAAAACGCATTTTAAATTAAGATTATTATTTATCATGGTTCAAAAAAATTGAATTATTAAAGCGATCCCTTTAAAATCCATGATGATCCCAGATAGTTCTGATACCTTTACTACACGACATATATAATGCATTTTTACCAAAAATTAAAATTTTTATTTGCATAAAATTGTTGGCGCTATACGAAATTACAAATTATGGTTAAAAATTCGTTGCCAATTTAACAATAACAGGATATTTTCACCTTTTATACTAAAATATTCCGAATTTCTATTAAATATATTAATTAAACTGAAGGGCAGTTGGGGCAAATGCCCCTTGGATATTTATAATTAACAAATTTCCAATAATAAATATCTTTCGTATAATATTTTATTATTCAAAATAAAGAGATCTGCGAAATAGATTTATTTTTTGACCCGAGACCTTCATACCTCCTGATTTTTTTAAAAACATTTCGTATATTAAAAGTATATGAAGGAAATATAACATTCACATTCAATTATAATTATTTGGAAAAACAATAACTTATACCTTTTTAAATTATTATTTATAACATAAATTATATTTATTTTTGGTGGAAAAGATAGTTAAAAGAGAATTTTTATCAGCTAAAATAATATTTATAAAATCCTGCAAATACCCTTATGATATTATCTCATTAGGTCCCATAGCAAGATTTTGCTAGGTATTTAAAAGATGAGAGCAAAGATATAATTATGCCAAGGCATAGAAATGATATTTTATTTGAAAACCAAAATTCAATTCTTTTGAGCAAGTAAATAATTTTTTTGTAAGTATTTTTAATACTATATCTTTTAATTATTTGATCCGACCTACTTGTTAAATTGACCCTTTTCCTTTTTTGATCGGAACTTATTTTTTTTTGGATGGTGAACCCTGTAATTATTAGAATTTTCGAATATAGTTAATAATAATAAAAAATCAAAGTAAAAAAAAAATCAGTGTTACTTGTAAAAATCGTCTTGCAAAAAGTACTCGTCAAATTTATATACTATTTTCAATTTTTTATAGGTTTAGTATTTAAATTACATTTTTTAAAAAATATATTTATACTCAATACTTTTTTTTGACATCTGTATTTATATTCGTATATGTTAGCTGCAATGTGTTTTTCCGACAATAGGTCTTTTTTTCAACTTTAATCATTTCCTGAGAGCGATTTTTAATTTAAGAATCTGATTTTACCAGAAATATAATCCAGCATGTTTTGAATACCTATCTTATCAATTGTAGAGAATCTTGCCGTTAACCTTTAAGCCAATTATAATTTATATAAAAAACTATGGAAAAACGAATATAAATTATATTTGATTCTAAAGTTCATTGCAAAATTGTCTGAAAATCATAGTATACAAACATGGTGATTTCTGGTAAAATTTGATTTTTAAATTTAAAAAAGTGCTCAAAAAATGATTTAAAGTTAATAAAAAATATTCATTGACGATAACATATATTTTTGAAAATTACAATCTTGCTTTAAGAATGTTTATTTTATCTAGGAAAGTTTATTTTTAGATAGCACGACTTTCAGGCACCAATTTGAAAATAGCGTACTGACAAAAAATTAAATATAAATTTATTAGCCACAAATACAAACATAAAAATAAATATTATGTTGTGTTATTTATATTTTTTTCCAGTTCAAATATATTGTGAATTATTTCAGTGCAAATAAATATTAGATTGTCGTATATTTTTTTCAGTGCATTTATTTAATTGTATTTTCATTTAAATTCCTTTTATTAAATTTGTAAACCGCAACATTATTTTATATAATAAATAATTTAAGTAACTTTTAACATTACTAATCCCTAACTGTCATAGGCTAAATGACAAATTATTTTAAAAATTAAGAATATTAATACTTACATTTATTTTAAAATATATTTGATTATATTTAGATTTTTGAGTTTAGTAGGCTTTTGTTTATTATAATTTACACATTTAATTAAAAATATTTTTATTATAATTTTTACAAATATACATCATGAATAGGGTTGCCAGGTCTCCTCTATCAGCAGGAGACTCCCAAAATTTAGTTTACACGCAGACATCTCACTCCCGCAAAACTACCGCAATTGGAAATCTACTGCAAAAATCTACAACAATTTTTAAATTTCTCCCGTACAATTTTTTTTAAGTATTTTATTTTAATATATTATAAATAATAATTTTGAGAAACAGTAATTAATTATTTTCAGGGATCCAAACCCAAACGAATATCGGTTCGGTTCCGGTTTGGATAAAGATAACGGTTCAAGGTTCAGGTTCGGTTCGCAAAAAATAAAAATATCGGTTCGGTTCGAACCTCTAAAAACTGGTTTGAACACTTTTGTATTCAAACCTACATTAGGATTATGTATAAGGAAAATTTTTTTTTATTTCATAATTAAAATAAAAACCTTAATTTTTATTAATTGCACATTATAAAATAATATTTAATTTATAAATATATCAATGATTAATTTTAATATGAACAATTACTTAAAATTTTTTTATTAGCCGCACAATTAATATATTTTCAAAATTTGTCTAACTCAAATTACATCTATAAGGAGATTATATAAATTTAATTGTTGAAAAACATCTTTCCACACTAACTTGGGTAGCTGGCATTGCCAGTATGATATCAGATTTGATGTGTCATTTATAATACTATATGTAAATAATTTATATATTAGATTTAATTTTTTTATAGGCATTATAATTTATAAGCCTAAAATATTTAAAAAATGTTATAAAATGGCAATATACTAATGTTTATAAAGTTATGACACTGACGTTTATCATAGGTGATTGATAATAATTTTTAAAACAATTTAAATATAAATAAAATTTTTGCAATATACTACTAGTAATAATTTACACATTATTTTATAAGCATAAAATTATGAGACTCGAACAGGTTCAGAGGCATTTTAGCGGTTCGGTTTGGATCCCTGATTATTTTTATATTTTTAAAATAAATTTTAAATATTTATTGAAAAAACATGTATAGTTTGTAAATTTCTTTTTAAAAATATTTCTTAAATAAAGATTATAAAAGCTGTCCTAATATTTTGAAAATAAATTTTTTCCGAGAATGAAATGGCGGAATGATTTCACATGTAGGAAATCTAGTACATGTTGTTAATATGCAGTTGCAATCAGAAGAATCTTTTTTGATAAATATTAACAAAATTATGCTGCAGCTGTGTTCATCTTTACATTTAAAAAATGACAATAAATTGTATGCGCTATAGCTGAAAATATCATATTGGAAATGTTCAAATATTACTCTAATGTATTTTTAAATGAAGCAAATATTTTTATTAAGATAATTTTAGAATATTTGCAATCAAAATTTGATTTCAATAACTCCATTTACAAATGTATAGATATTATGACCTTGGAACAGAAACCATCAATTGATGGTTTTTGTAATTTAATAAATATATTAAAAATACCGATATTGATGTCTTATTTGAGGGGATTCAAATTATTTTCTTTTATATATAATATAAATAAAGTAACTCCACTATATAAAAATTATTTTGAAAAATATTACCTATTTTGAAATTATAAAACGTTACCGACTTTGTTAATATTTATATAAAGTAATAATAAGTAGGGGGATAACTAAGCTAATTCACAATCCCGACCGAAGACCGGTACTCCCACAAAAATTTTTTTTAGCAATTTTTATATTTCTAACGCAATTTTTATATTTCACCCGCAAAATACCAAATTTCTCCCAATTTAAAATTTTTGACCCGGCAGTTGCATTAAAAAGAGGTTTGTTCATTTCCTACATGAATTTCAACTCTGCTAATCATTTTAATGTAATGAAAAAGTAATCTTATTTAATGTACATTTAGGATCTTTGGTCCATTGGACATTTTGATTAGTTATGATGATCACCAGTAGCAAATTCATTTTGTTTCCGTTCGTTTACCTTTCATCGATTCTCTGATGCTCGACAAAACTCTCGTGTGTAGAGAATGAAGCCTAATATTTGATACCCCAATGATAATATCTACATAGCATTTATATGATTCTTTAAATGTAATATATTTTTTTATATAATATTAATAAGGTCTTTCTGCTACTTCGCTGCTAACTAACATACATAATCATTGTCAGTAAATCTTCCTAAAAAACGTTCATAAAAATAAACAATTATTTCATAATAATATCCTTTTAAAGAACTCCAATTAGCCCTTTTCACAATCAAATTTAAATTTGGTATCAACCAAAATATAAACACTTGAGATTTTCAGGGTTTGATTAAATTTTGATATAATTCAGCTTCTCAATCTTCATAAAGTCAAATGAATTTTCACCTTTTATTTTTTAATATATTAATTGTGGAGTCAACACAATTTTTTATCAACTTCTATATTAGTTTTTATTAATTTTTTTGGAGCAAGGTTTGTACTCTTCTATTTCGACCAGACATGGCATTAGATGAATTAATCTTTAAATCATTAAGTTGTTCCAAAATGCAATTTGTAATGCTTTCAGCAGAAATACTTTCTAAATCATGATTCTTTTAGAATTTTCCACAAAAAATGTACCGAATATGTATACTCAAATTTTTATAACCTGCTGCATCTTTTGTCTCATCAGCCTTAAGACAAACGAACGGCATCTCACTTTTGTTATAGGGGAGACCGGGGTAAAACGTTTTATTTTGCATTCTTAGCATAAAATAATATATCTGTCGCAGAAGTTAAATTAAAGACGGAGAAAAATGTTTTTTAAAAAAAGAATGCCAATCAATATTTATTTTTTTGATTATTTTTAATTTCGATAAAAAATCCTTATTCTGTATTTTCATTATGTGACTTTTTTTGAAAATTATGGAATGATGGAGATAATAAATTTATTTTTGGGAAGTGAAATTGAATAAATAAAATTTCGAAAATTGAAATTGGTATAAATTATATTAATATTCAAATCCCTCATTTACAAATTAAAAACTACCTAAAATATTTTAGGAGCTATGATTAATTATGTGAAATGTGCCATAACCCATACCAGGATAAAATGCCTAAGCATCACGGTAAAGTAGTTAAAATATAATTGAACATAACTTTATTGATTTATTTATTAAACAAAATGTTGCAATTTTGATTTCATCACTTTTAAATATAAACTTCAATATAATATATGGAGATGTAAAAAAAGAATTTTCAAAAATAACACATTTTGAGTGTGCCCATTTTAGGCCCATCGTATATTTCAATTATGCTTCCTCCTTACGACATTTTAAAAAATTTAATTCCAAATAACGAACGATTTATTAATGTTACTTTTTGCTCGAAAATATCTTTTTATATGGTGTATAACTTTAATAAAGTGTCTTTTTACAGCTTTAATCAGAAGGAACATTTTAACCGTTTTACCCATAACAACTTTACCATAAGGTGGTATATTTGGGTGACTTCTATTTAAAATATAAACATCTGATAAATTTTATTTTATACCTATGACTTTTAGATAAAATTTTGGGCCTTCATATAAACTGAATGGTTATTTTTATATTTTTGGGCAAAAAACGTACTTTTGGCACCAAAAATTTTTTTTAAAAGATGAAAAAAGGTAAGAAATTTAAGGTCTTTATTCAAGGGTAAATTATTCGCATTGACATTGTTATCCAGTAACCGCTTTACTCCGTTTTCTCCTATATTGAAAAAGATTCTAGTATCATTTCTGCCATGATAAATAGATATTTTGGTAACCATTTTATAAATTTCTCACCTAGCAAGTGTATGAAAATATTGCAAAAAATTTCTTAAATTATATTTTCAGAACCAGACCCAGAAAAAAGGAGCTTTTGTAAGAAATGTATTAAATATAAATTTTAAATAACATCGATTACGCTAAATTTGATTTTGATGATTCACCAAAATTGTTGATATTTCTGTATCTTTCTATATATTATGATTTAAAGCCTTATTGAATTTAAATGATTTTTAGAGATTTTATAACAGCTATATTTTTATCTTTTTTAAATGGAGGGGGGGAGAGAATATATTTTTGGAGGCCAAAAAATTTAGAGACCAGATTTAGTGGTCGAAATCGCAGGGGGGCAGTGTCTAACGGCCTTGGTAATCACAGTCCTAATCAAAACTAAGATATATATTTACTTGTATCAATCTTCATAACTTTGTATGCAAAATATGAAAGAATACCAACTTCTACGCCATCTTTAAAATTAGGGACTTTCAATAAAGTTTTGGTATTGATTTCTCTTTTCTCAACCTATTAAAATGAAGTAATGTTAGAATTTGTTAAATATTGATAATCATAAAAAATAAAATACCAACCTCAATGTCTGAAATGGCACTTTTTAAAGAGCATGACCAATTAACTAATCGATTACTTCTATATATAAGCCCTTGTTCATGTAACCTCACAAAACATTCAACAACAGCTGATGAAAACTTCTATAAACACAATATATTAATCTCACATCAACTATGCTTAACTTGGTCCATAGTAAAGTATTCCATAGACCAATCTAAAGAAGCCCCTAATGCCTTTTCTTGATTACATATTTCATTGCCTTTTCTGCAAAATTTTAATATAAATTAATAATATATTATACATTATATTTCTTACATATGTTTCCATTCCCATACTTTTTTGATAAATGTTTGGCGGCCAAGTGTTTGTCGTATATTGGGGGTAACTGGTGAGCTTTTTTGCAACTGTTTTTCAACAATAACTTGTGTTGCTATTCCAGCATGATCACTTCCCGGAATCCACAGTGTTTCATGTAAACTCATTCTGTGCCTTTGCAATTCAAATTAACTAATATTACCAGCCATATCATAGCTTATATATCTACTTGGCCCGGTTCAAAAACCTGGCCTGTGAGCTAAGCCGGTCTAAAAACACAAAAACGAGCAAATAGTATAAGATATTTATCGGGCCGGGCAGTGTAATTACATATTAATGTTTATTCTTTATAAAAATAATAACTTGCCTAGCTTGACGATGGTAAAAATTTTTTGGGGCCGAGATCGGCTAAAAGTATTACAGGCCAGGTCGAAACTTTTTAAAAATAATTTTATTGACCAGTTTAGGCCGATCTAACTTAGTATCTGACATATATTATTTAGAAAGAGCCGTGGCTTCTACATCACCATAAGTCACTAACGTATAAATTTTATTTTTACCTACCAATTAAAATCAGCAAAAAAGGAAGTAGGAAGGGGCTATACATGAAATCAACAGCGTTTCATGGAGATTTATAAAATTTAACAACATTTTACATAGTTATTAAGTATGTTATGAGAAGTGCAATTAATTTTTTTTTAAAAAAACTTTTAAGGTTCAAAGTGTAAATGGCATCTTACCTATTTGCATAAAAAATAATATTACTCGAAAATTTAAATGGTAGAGGCTAGAGGTCTGCAATAAGTTTATTTTAAATTAAAACATTAGACGGGCGAGTTTGAATGTTGCACATTTTAATAAAATAGAATGGAAGAAATAAGATCACAAAATTAATTTTTAATTAAATAAATTTTATTTTATATTTATAATTCAAAAAAAATTAAAGGTTATTGTATTTACAGGGTTTCCCATTCAAAAAAGGAAAAGTCCCAATAAAAAAAAAGGAAAAGTTTCAATCATAAAAGGAAAGGTTCGTCAATCATAAAAGAAAAAGGTTTGATCAAAAAAGGAAAAGTATCAAAGGCTTAGGAAAAAGTCCGATCGAAAAAGGAAAAGTGTCACATATAAAGGAAAAGGTTCAATCAAAATGGGAAAGGTGTGAATCAGAAAGGAAAAATTCCATTCAAAAAAAGAAAATCGTTATTTTATTTAAAAAAATCATTAATTTTTTTTCTTGTCAATTGTTCTTAAATTTTTATTATTCCTTCTTATTTTATTTCTAACTTTTTGCCATTTCTTTAAGTCATTTTTAACCTATATTTTTCTTACTATCTTTTCTCAATTTATTTTGCTACTCCAGGTGCGTACGCAGGAATTTGGTCTGGGGGGGGTGGGGGGATAATAAATTTTTTAAAGAAATATTATTGTTATTTAATAATATCAAGCATAAGTTTATTAGGACTAATAACTATTTATACACAATTTTAAATTATATGAATTATAAAAAAATTATATATATAAACCGGCACATAAAAAACTATAAAATAAATGTTAATTAAAAAATATAAAGTGAATATAACCACCACATGAATCACTTAAATGACCCAAAATAGAAATTTGAATTTTTTGAGCCTTTAAAATTTATATATAAAGCAAAAAATTTTAATGTTGGAAATATAAATATTAATACACAAAAAGTTTCTTAGGAATAATTGTATTTTGTATTATATTTACAGTGTAAAATCCAATCTTCGTTGGAATTGAGCGAATTTTTCAATTACTCATCCTTGCTTGGCGTCAAATGCTTATAAATATTTAAAAGATCCAAACCATTCAATCCACTTTCAGAAGTTGTACTTCTTAGGTATGTTTTCAGAGAACTGCAGGCCCGGTTCCCGGGTCGGACCGTATTTTAATTTTTTAAATACACCCGGGCAGGGCTCGAATTTTTTAAAAAAAAAACACCTGGGCCAAGCCTGATTTTTTTTAAAAAAATTATCCGGGCCGAAAAAAAATTTTGAAAAAAAATCCAGGCCGTGCTCTGCAAATTGTATTTTTGCAGGGCTCTGTTATTCTTCTTAAAAAAGATAATGTTCTCTCATTAGTTTACTAATGGGAAGAGTTGCTAATATATGTAATATATATATATAATCATTTTAATATATTGGGAATAAAATCTAAAATGGTTTGAAATTATACAAAGCATCCATAGCATTTTTTGGGACTATATCAGTTAATCTTTTATACATAGTTATTCAGCTAATAAGGCATCAACAAATATTATTATTTTTCTATCACCATCTGAAAAAGATTGGGAAGGCTTTTGTGGAAGTAATATCTGCAGATTGGCAAGTGCTGCATGATGAATTAAAAACCATTCATTTATTTGGATTATAGTTTATACTTTTCTACTCTTATACTAATGTTTTGACGATGAGCTTGCCTTGCTGCAAATCGAGTGAGACAAATATTAAACACGTATAGCTCTCCTTTTGACTCAACGATAACATATAAAATTGAAATTCTTCATCAACATTAGCCCCAATTTCCTTGAGTTCTAATAAAATGCTCTCCGCTATTCTCATCTTCTTAATCAAGTCAATGTCATGTTTTTGAAAAGTATTACATAAAGTAGTTGTATAATTAAATAATACATTCTAATGAGAAAAAAAAATTGAAATAAGTATTGAATCCAAAATTTTCTTGCTTCTGAGGAAATATTTCTTTCATGCCATTGTGATATTTCAGTAATAGCATTAATAATCGGTTCTTCTAACTCCATAAAAGCTGTTGCTGCTTGACGGCGGAGACTCCATCTCGTTGGACAAGCTTGCACTTTCTTTCTCCCTGTTGGACAAAGAGTTTCAGAAAAATTATTATTTGACTAGAAATATGAAAATGGTAGATAAATATTACGCCACTAGAAATTTGAAAATAATAGGTAAATATTACGCCAATGAAAACTTGAAATCGAAATTAATTGATAAATAACTTAATAGATGAATGTGATAAATAAATGTAAATAAATATATATTTAATATGAGATAGGAATAAATATTAACAAATATAAATTAATATAAACATTAATATTATTGAAATATCCGGCATCTGCATTTTTTGGCTTGGGGGGGGGGGGGGGGGGGATTTGCCCCCTGCCCCCCCCGCTGCGTACATTAATGACTCATTTTTGTCTTTAAAAATAATTTATAAATTTTTCTGATTATTTTTCTTCACTTCTTTCTTTCCTCTTTTTTCATCCTACATAACAATATTTTGACATTTTTTCTTCTTATATTGTATTTACATACATTTCTATAGTGGCGTAGCTACTTGGGGGGTTTTGTAGACCCCCTCCCCCAGAGCAAATTTTTTTTTTTTAGATTATACGTTCAAAAGTTTCAAAAGTTACTTTATATCAAATAAATACCATGAATATTTATATTTTTCTGGTTTTATGTTTGTGGAAGGATATTATATTACTATTGAAATTATTCTGGATAGTATTATTATAAAGTCATTAATATTCGGGTAGACCCCCCACCCCCAGAGCAAATTTTTTTTTAGATTATACGTTCAAAAGTTTTAAAAAAAACGCCTTACCAAGATTATAGCCGGACGTAATTGAGCGTGAACATAAATTTCGGGTGAATCACGGAAATTTTAATTTTAAAATTGTTTTTTTTATGCATTTAAATTTGCAATATTATAATTATAATATATATTTTCTAATTTAATTTAGTTCTTTAAAATGAAAATTTCTTAATAAATAAATTTAATTTAAAATGTTTTATTTACATTTATCTTTATCACTAAAATTTTGATCAAAAGATGCTCGGATAATCTGAGCACAGATTCACGTCCCACAATAAATGAAGTTTATCTGTGGCAACAAAATTAGTAAAATTCTGTCAACCTTCTGAAGATTATATAATAATGATTAAAGCACTAAAAAACAGGACAACATTTCTTTTAAATAAAATTTTATTATGCAGACACTACATACTTTAGACCTAATTCTAGATCCGAATTTTAAAAGTCTTAAGTTTTTAATAGACGAAGAAAAGGAAGAATATAAAACTGTGAAATGATGTAAAATTAGATGGCATGCATAAATTTTTAACTTTTTTAATTTCATCCTGCACACATATAAAATCATATATTCCAAACATTTAGTGAATTTCTAGATGATTCTGATGGAGCATCAACATCTACTGATAAAAGTTGTGAGAATAAACTTAAAAGATCCATCTCCGCTCATAAAACAAATAAATGACAATATTTTGAAATTTTGGAAGCAGGAAAATTCATTTTGTTTTTGAAAAAAATTAGCCAAAATTTTGTCATCCCCGCTAATTTGGCTTATAGAAGGTCATTTTCTATAGCCAATCGCTTATTAGAGGAAAGGCGAACACAATTGAAATAAAAAACATGACATTCTTCTTTTTATAAATAAAAATATTGATTTTCATTTTCTATAGTCAATCGCTTATTAGAGGAAAGGCGAACACAATTGAAATAAAAAACATGACATTCTTCTTTTTATAAATAAAAATATTGATTTATAAATTGTAATAGAATAAATTAAAAAAGCGTAAAAGTAAAGCAATAATGTTTTGGAAAATTTAAAAACATCGTGAATTTTCAGGCGTGACGGGTGTGATCAAAATATTGTATTTCGAGAGTGGGCGGGTCTGATAATATTTATTTAGTAGTAAACGTGAAAGGGCGTAAATGTTTTATTGTCATCGTGAGTGGGCGGGCGGTAAAAAGTAGGCCCGCGCCCATGCCCACCTTAAGTTCAAATCCCTTGCAAAATTGTCTGACATTTACAGGGTAGGTACTCAGTTTTAATTGAAATACGATTCTGGAATAATCAGGCCTTTTAAAATTAAAAAACCCGTACTATAATTGAATTTCAAAGATTTTCCAAACCCTAACAACTTAAATAAAACAATTTCAAAATTTTTTTAAACATCTTTCATATAAAAGGGGGCTAAAATGAGAAAATTTGAAATGTATAGAACAGTTGTCTTTTGAAACTTATCGATCAAGGATTTTAATTTTATTATATAGCGGTAATACTAATGTTGTTAAAAGCTACTTTTAAAAGTCGCGCTACCGCTACCGCTTTTAAAAAAATAACGCCCTTTAAGGATTTTTTAAAAATATTATTTATGGTTTCAATTTCCACAAATAAAAAATATGACTATTTCAAATATATAATTTCTTTTATTACATCTCAATAATAGTAACATTTCCATTAAAGATCTGCAAATCACCGTCCAGCCCCTATCCAGGCTAGTGTTGTTAAAAGACTCGTTTTGATCCGATTTTTAAAAACGGCTAACTCAATACTTCACCCAGAAAAATATTACCCAGGCCTGAATATTTTGCTCATAGAAGGAACAAAGCTGGACATGTATTATCGAAATCTTGAGAAAAAATCGGCTCAAAACGAGCCGTTTAACAATGCAAATCCTGGCCGTGTCTATTTTTAAAAAATAATTTCGGTTCGGCTGGGTCGGGCCTAATATTTTATAAATCGGGCAGAGTCGGGCTTACATTTTTAAATATAATAGTATTAATCTTTGTCAATAAATTGATATATTTTAAAATTCTTGCATGAAACAAAGCGGTTATATTTTTTTATTGTAGAATATGTTTTTTTACCAGGGTTGGCAAGTCAGTCAATTGACCGGAGGAGTATTTGACCTGTTAAATACGGTCAAATACTCTAAAAAATTTAAAGGAAAAATAAATTAAAAATATGTTTAAAAAAGGGAAAAACGATATAAATACATGTGATCACAATGTTTGCTTATTTTTTGTGTCCACAATATCAAAAGGAGAACTCACAAGTATGTGATATATTTTACAAGGTAGTGATGACCAAAATATTTTAAGTGATATAATTAATTTCAGAAGCAAAAACAGCATGTTTAATATAGCCAATTATGTGGAAAATAGTAATTTCCAAAAACAATCAATTCCGACCTCTAGTTAATAGATCAAACTTTGTCCACCCTGCCCATTAAGAGACTAACAATTCCTAGTTCTACTTCTTCTTTAGAAAGAAATAGGTCGATTTGGGTTAATATTCTTATGAAAATAGAAATCGATTGAAGATCTAAGACATCAGGAAAATTGATTAAAAAATATTAAAGAAAATGATAATACTGAATATGAATCAGAACAAATCTCTGCTACAGATAGATAAAAGTTAGTTATTGAATGACAATGAATTTAAAAAATTAATATTATAGATTCATTTTACTATTATATTCAAAATAAAGTTAATATTAACTTAAAAAAACATATATTTGAATTTGACCATATTTGACCGGTCAAATGCACAACCCTGTTTTTTACAATAAAAAAAATTAAATTTTTCTACATTTTAATAAATTCGGGCAGATAAATAATTTTTATTTTGGGTCGGGCAAAAAATTTCGTTCTGGATCGGGCCAGGCAGGCCTGATGCAGATCACTAATTTCCATACTGCCATCCCCAAGTCTAGAGCAACGATCAGAAAGTATAAGCTAACTAAATAATCGTTCAATACTAGAATACAAAGCAGATTAAATTTAATATATACATATTTTTTATATAAGAAAAATCATCAAAAATATTCATTTGAGTATTTTTTAGATTTAAAAAAAAATGTGTCTAAATATTTTCAATCACATTATTATTTATTTCAAAAATATAATCCATATTAGGTGGCGTTTTTGATCTGGCTAGCTAAAATTATAATAGTAATATTTAGAATAAAAATTATGTATGGGATAAGTAGATAGCCATGTTTGTCAACTGGCCAGTCTACCACCCTTTAACTTTTTTATATATTGAACCAATTTCTTTCAAAATTGGTAAAATGTTAAAGGATTGAAATATGTATTTTTCAGTATTGTTAAAATAGCGCGCTACTTTTTTTAGTAGCGGTAGCTTTAGCTGGCTACTTTTTTTAGAAAATAGCCATAGTGGTAGCTCACTACTTTCAATTTTACATAATAAATACATCTAAAAATTATTAAAATATATTTTTATTAAATCTAAAATTATAATACTTTTATTTAATAATATTTAAATTTATATTTAAAAATATACATTATAAATCTAGTTATCATTATAAATCTAGTTATTAAAAATGTGTGAGATTGTTGAAGATAATGAAATTTCTTTGGAAAATGAGAAAAATTTAGATTATCCTTTCCCAAAATTCAAAAAATACTTTTATCTTGAAGAAAAAATTACTACTGGATAACGGTTTCAATGCAAGAAAATTTTGCGAAACACTAGTAGAGTCTTTGCTAAAAGACATTGAGAAAAGGTCAATACATTATTTTTATTTTCTATTATACAATTATATAAAATGAATGATTTATTGCTTAATTAGCCATAATTTAAATTGGCTTAATTTACAACACAATCTATAATATTAATATAAAGTATTAATATAAAATTAAAATTAATATATTATTAATTACCTTGTGTATAATAATTATATTTTTAAAATCTTTATTTACCATAATTTAATGCTATTTTAATATTTTTTTATAAATGAATCTAAATCTCAGATAAATTTAAATTTTGAAAATTAAAAAGGTATTCTACTTATTTTATAAAAAATACAATCGTTTTATATAAGTTAGATTTCCAGATCTGTATGATGATGATAATGTAATAGCTGCTATCGTTCATCCTAGTTTCAAGTTAAATTGGCCATACATTAATTTGAGAATCTAAAGCGTAACTTGATAGGCTGATGGTAACGTTAAAAAATGCCATGCCTAACCAGGATACTAATACTATAGCAAGATCAAAGCCGCGGCCTTCCATAGACGATTTTTTTGAAATAAATAATAATAATATTGAACCTCTATATGCTTTTTTTAAATCTAAAAATACTCATTTAAACATCTTTGATGATTTTTTTCATATAAAAAGTGTTTATTAAATTTAATACTGCGTTACCCTCAAGTGCGAGTGCTGAACGATTATTTAGTATGGCAAAGCTTATAACTTTCTGATCGTCGAGTACAAAATGTTATTATTATTAAAGTGCAATATTAAATAAATTATATATATGTAACAAATTATAGTCATGTTTTTATACCAATATTTTATTTGTGGAAATAAAGTTATGTAAAAAATATTTTAAAAAAAAATTAAAATAGCGTAAAAAGTAGCTAATAGCGTGCTACTCATTTGAAAACGATAGCAGTAGTGATAGTGCACTATTTTTTTTATAAAATAGCGGTAGCAATAGCGTGCTACTTTTAAAAGTAGTGTTTAACAACACTGGTATTTTTTAACATGTTTTGATAAAATTTAAAAATATATAAATAATTATATTTAAACAGTTTAACATCCAGATAATAATTTATAAAATATAGTCATCATTAAATAAATGAATCGGATTATAAATGAAATGTTAATATAAATTATTTATTTTAAATTTTTAATATAATTCTTGTATATTTTAAGGTTAGTTCAGTTGAAACATATCAGGTACTGGGGCAAAAAACCAACTTTAACATAAACTCATCTAGCTCAATAACTATTATAGATACAGCTTTTATTCAAATTTTATATTAAAGATTAAATTGGGCTACATTTTGTAAATTCAGGAAAGGAAATTCCAGATACCATTCTTCAGGAATGACTTTGTGAAATAATCTGTACCAGAATTATCTTCAATAGTCTGGATCATCAACATTTTTAATTATTTTGATAATGCAGATTTTTAAATATAAATTTATAAATTAAATAAATAGATTATAATTTTAGAATTAATTATAAATATATTTTAATTTTGTGGGCATTTATTATATAAAATGAAAAGAAGTGTAGTAGTGCTCTAAATTAGTAGTGAGCTACTGCTATTTTTTTTAAAGTAGCACAATAAAGCTACTGCTATAGCATACTACTTTAACAACACTGGGTAATACTACTCTTCAAGCCCATCATGGATTTAAAAGATAACATAAGATAAGTATAGATTTGTTGCTTGTGACCTATGTGTCACAATATGTAGAAAAAGGTAAAATTTACAGAAAAATTATTACAATATTTGTTTTTTTTATATTATATTTTGAATTGTTATGGACAACAATCTAAACTACTGTTATAAATAGCAATCTGGCCAGCAACACATTCAATTTCTACTATAAAATATAGTGACACTAGTTTAGCACACTACTTTTGAAGTAGCAGCAGGTTATACTTTAACTTAATAAGATATAACCACAAATAACTAAATAAAATTATCTTAATGTCCTCTAGATAAGAGGATAATAAAAAAAAATGTTTATTAAATAATGATGACAGATTATTTTATAGATAAACAAAATTCTGTAAAAAATTATAAATCAGTTTAAAACCATCTTGCCAAGCTATCTTGTATTGCTATAGTCAATGCATGTCCCAAGTGCAGTGTGCCTGTAACATTTGGAGGAGGTAAACACATAATAAATTTTTCTGATTCATCATTCTATTATTTTTTGAGCATATATAGACTACATAATTATATATTACATTGCTATAATAAAATTCATTAGAGCTTATCATTAAATATCAATTTTGGTTTACACATAATCAAATTTTAATTTTCATACTTTAAAAACAGGTTTAAAAAGTCCCATTTTTAACCACCAATCATACCAACATGCCTCCACAAAATTTGGCGAATAACCAATAGGTAAAGAATTGATTGTATCTATATTTATTTATATGCATATTCATATATTATAGCGATACCTTTCTTCTCACCTAGAGCAGTTTTTATATCATATGTAACTAAATCATGTTCAATTTTATTTATAGTTTCCTTTTTCTTAACATGTAAAAATATATGAATGATCATTGTATAAGATTACTTTTGTTTTTTTCTCATTATCTTGAATTTTTAGCTTTTCGTTAAATTTTTCTAATTTCTTTTTCCTTATTTCTTCCTTCCTAATTTCCTTCTCACGTTTTTCCATATTAAGTGTGCTCAAAAAATAGATTTCCGTGCCTATGATCGTATGGACACTTCATCGTAAAGTTTCGTCCAATTCTGTGATTGGTCCATTAAAGTGCGGGAAATACAAAAGTGTAAACATATTTTTAATTTTAATCATAATAATGGAAATTAAAACGGTGTCAAACAATATCAAACTTCTTCTTGAGAGAAGAATTAATCCCATTATAATTCAAAGTTAGCAATCTAATTATATATAAATAATTTAGTTTGAATTTTAGAAAACAAAATTACTAATAAAAAATCCAAAAGAGGACGTGATATTTTATGTTTTAATGATTTAGAATATACCATCCATAGAGTAATAAATGCCACATCGTATTACAGGTGTAGACAAAGGAGTTGCTTAGGACGGGGTATTTTACAATCAGGTAGGTTCACAGAGATGCAGGATCATACCATAGAACAGTGTAAATCACATATTGGTAAATATTTTTATAAATAAATCACTAAATCAATTTATTTTTAGGCAATATGTTTACTCCATGTCAACCCTTAGTAACACAGAACATGCAACCTGTTAATGCCATATCAAGTTTCACAAATTAAAATTTCTATAATCAATTTGATTTTAGGCAATATATGTGCCCCATCTCAACTCTCTGTAGCAAACTACCAAACAACTATAACTAGTTTCACCAATTATTTTATTTTTATAAACAGTTTATTTTTAGGCAATATGTTTACTCCATGTCAACCCTTAGTAACACAGAACATGGAACCTGCTAATGCCATATCAAGTTTCACAAATTAAAATTTCTATAATCAATTTAATTTTAAGCAATATATGTGCCCCATCTCAACTCTCTGTAGCAAACTACCAAACAACTATAACTAGTTTCATCAATTATTTTATTTTTATAAACAGTTTATTTTTAGGCAATATGTTTACTCCATGTCAACCCTTAGTAACACAGAACATGCAACCTACTAATGCCAGATCAAGTTTCACAAATTAATAAATTTTATAATCAATTAATTATTATTAGGCATTATATTAACTCAATCTCAGCTATTACCAGCATTTAATATACAACCTACAATATCTAGTAATTTTTTATAACTTATTTTATTAAATTATTTTTTAAATAGGTACAGAAGATGTAAATAATGCCCAAATGCTATTAGAATAATTTATTTGATAATATATAATTTTTATTGTAAATAATTTATATTTGTTTTATACATGCTAAATAAATATTAGTTGTTTATATTTTTATATTCGATTTATACATTTGAAATAATTAACATATGTCATATACATTATAAATTTGAATAATAAAATAAGCTTCTTAATTTGCTGTAAAAATTGTATCCTAGGTTGTTCTTTTGATATTGTATAAGAGCTAAGATAAATTGTTACCATTTGAAACCTGCTAAATATTCTATATTTGAATAATAATAAATATTAAATTTTACCATTTTAAACCTATTAATCTTCTTAATTTGCTATAGAAATTGTATCCTAGGTTGTTCTTTTGATATTGTGTAAGAGCTAAGATAAATTGTTACCATCTGAAATCTGCTAAATATTCTATAATATTTATTAAATTTTACCATTTTAAACCTATTAATCTTCTTAATTTGTTATAGAAATTATATCCTAGGTTGTTCTTTTGATATTGTGTAAGAGCTAAGATAAATTGTTACCATTTGAAATCTGCTAAATATTCTATATTTGAATAATAATATATATTAAATTTTACCATTTTAAACCTATTAATCTTCTTAATTTGCTGTAGAAATTATATTTTGCCATTTGAAACCTGCTAAATATTCTATATTTGAATAATATATATTAAATTTTATCATTCCAAAAGAAATATTAACATTCCAAAAGAATTATTAACATTTAACGTAAGATTATGGTAAAAAATTAAATTTTACCATTTCAAACTTATTAATCTCCATTTTGAACGAATTGGACGAGTTGGACGAAAAATACGATGAAGTGTCTTACGATCAAAGGCACCCCTACCAAAAAATATTTGGTTTACATGACATGTTGTGCATCTTATCTTTTAATGAATGGCATGACATACTAATAATTGAAATTAGTTTTGTTAAACGTCTCATTTTGAGCCGATATTTAATAACGGCTAACTCAATATTGTAGCCAGAAAAATATTGCCTAGGCCTCAAGATATATGTCTAGACCTTTGTTCCTACTATGAACAAATTCTACAGACTTGGGTAATATTTTTCTGGATGAAGTATTGATTTAGCCGTTTTTGTAAATCGGATCAAAACGAATCGTTTAACAACGCTAATTGAAATATAAATTGGACCTGAAATAAAAAATATAGAAAATCTAATTAATAATATTTCTCTGGTTAATTCTTTATTAAGCCTGGAACAAATATGAAATATATTTTTATTAGTTTATATAAAATAAAAATATAATAAATTACTTGTATTGTATATACCTTAATATAAAAGCATGGTAATAATTTATTCCAAACAATTATAAGAAATTTATTTATAATAAGTAAGTAGACATATAGTTGATTTTACTCTATTATATAAAATTAGTTATAGAATACTAGGTAAAATTCCACTTTTACAAACATATTTGACAGTTAGAGAATATATTACAGTTAATAATCTGACAAAATTTACTAATCAATGCTCTTAATATTAAATATAGCAACAATATGCATACGATTATTTAACGCCATCTATTTTATATAAGTATATATAAATTTAATCTTCATATTATTCATCCAACAATGTCTTTAAAAGATATTTTCTGATGTCCTTATCAATATTTTATAGTTTTCTGTAAAATATATAATTCGCCATATTGGTAAAAATACTTGATTGTCATTTGATAATTAGATATATTGTAAATCGACGATATATAATATTCCACTGTTTATATTGTGCTTTAATATTTTTTTAATTTATGATTTAATTTTATCAATAGTTTTATAATTATATTTTACTTTTATTGAGATAAATAAATTAAAATTACTCACTTTATAAAAAATTTTATTTGATATATTATATTATTTAGTAATTTTATAGATCTATTATTAATAATTATAATACATTTCACTTCTGTCTTAAGACTTATCCTTGGCCTATATTCCATTTATTAAAAAACATTTTTTGTTCATTTTATATATTTATAAATTTATTTTCCCAAAAATCTATAAATTATGATGAATAGTTTTATAAAAAAATATCAACTTTTACATTCTTTCTTTTAAATTATTATTTAAGATATATGCATACATATATGAGGGTCAGGGAGTGGGGGGAGGACTAAGGGGGATATTTTTTATTAGCTATAAATGATATTTACAAAAAAGTGATAAATTTCTGAAGGGGGGGGGAATTTCCCCTTGCCCCCCCCCTCTGGCTACGCCTATGGAAACATAGGTAGCCGGGGTCCTTGGAAAAATATCACTTTTGTGAATATGATTTTTAACTAATGAATATCCTTCTTACTACTCTTTATAACCCGTATCAAATGTATGATATCTTAAAAAATAATTTGAAAAAAAAGAATGTATAAGTTAATATATTTTTAACCTAAAATTTTTGAAATTCATACTTTTTTGGAAAAATGTATGTGTATAAAAAGTGTAACCAAAAATGTTTTTTTACGAAACAAAATATAAACCGAAAGATAAATTTTAAAACGGGAAATTTATATTAATTATTATTAATAGATCTATAAAATTATCAGGGGCGTCGCTAGCCTTTACAATCTCAGGGGGCTCAACTAAAAATTATTTATAGGGGATCCCCAATTTGCGGGCCTTTGGCCCGCTTTTGCCCGACCTTCGGCCAGGTTTTATATTAATATATTATACTTTTTTAAAATTTACTAACTCTAAATAATTATTCTGAATGTCATTTATTATATTTTACATGCAAAATAAACTAGCATCTAAAAATAATACAAGACATTTCTAAAAATAATATTTTTTAATGGAAAATCTATTTATTACAGTATAAAATATTTTCGATTTTTGATATAAAATGATTTTGCGTCAAAAAACGTTAATTAATTCATATATCAATTGATAATAGTTTTTGAAAACTACATATTATAATATAATTCTTAGCAACTTACACTGACAAATGATCATGAAACTAATATAACTCCCTATTACCATTTTAGACAATGTTTTATAGAATGGACTAATAAGAAAAATTTTATAGACCTTACCAAATCTACAATTCTTGAAGAAGAGAATATAAACGACAAATCCAAATCATAAAACTATATGATGGTTAGAGCTTCCTCTTAGATGACATGATGGAAGCTAGATAAGTAATCGAAAAAATTATTGTATGATATTAAACTTCTAAAAGATTATCTTCCATTTTCAATGTTATATAAACGACTACACAGTTGACCTATTGCATATCTAAAATGTGCGATCATATGCTCTCAGCAGCTGTTGTAATAATCTTAGGCACACAAATAATAGATACTGGTTAATTTGCAGTCATATCCATGACACACACGATGGTAACCCATCACAATTTATTCTTTTAGATAAATTGATAAAACAAAAATATTAAAACCTTTAGAAGAAGTTATGCAAATATATTGAAGCCACGGCAAGGATGCCATATTAGAAATGAAACATTTTGCAACTACAAAATAAGAACCAGAGTGATATCATGAAAGCAATTAAGATTTTATATATAATTGTCGCACCATCTCTAGTTGGTATATTATATCTTAAAATAATAGTAGTTTCAAGTTTGTAATAATATCAAAAATATATTTGTATTAAAGATTTAACTCAAATCTATTTTTCGAAGAAGAAAATAATTGCATTTCTAAAAACACGTAAAAAAGATGTTGTGGGATGAATAATAATACATTTAATTTTAATTATATTTTAAATATATAGATGGCGTTAAATATTTATAAGCAAATTGTTACTTATATTTATTATCAAAAGCATTTATTAGTAAAATTTTAAATGTATTAACTGTAATATATTATACAGATACGTCTGTAAAAGTGGCATTTTACCTAATATTTTATAAAAAATT